TAAAGGAAAATCTGGTGTTTTTGAGTAGACAGTGGGAAGTTTGTGCCCACTGTCTGAGTCATCTGAATTTTAAAGAGGAACCAGCAGCATTTTATTTTTTTTGTGTCAACAAATACATTTTTTTCTTGGTAATTGGAAATTGGCTGGAAAATGAGGTTTTTAAGGAAATGACACATGATGTCACCTTAGGTAAACATGGGAGGATGTGAAAAGAGGGTTTATGAGTCAAATCATTGGCTAAGGACATTCTTGGATGATTAGCCTTTGATAAGTGGGTTTTTGGACAAAATTTTTAGAAAAATAAATGGGAAGAGGGTGAAAGAAATTTTTACATTCTTCAAAGGTGATGAAAAGTGCATGATTTTATTTTTTTATTTTTTTTAAAATGACCAATTTTTGAAGAAATCTTGAAAATAAAATTTTCAAGTGTGTATTTTCAAACATGTCTTTTTAAAATTTTGGATAGAATACTTGTATTTTATACAAGTACTTGTACCCTTTGGGGAGACATCATGACATGAGATCACTTTTTGGTCATTCTTTTTTTAAAAATGAAAACAAAAATAAACTTGTAATCATGTCTTTCAAATCACCTTTACAAGTTACCTTCCCAAGATTTTAAAATTTTTAAACAAAAAAAAAACCCACTTATTTCACTTCTCCCTCATTTCTCCTATTCACTCCTTCATCTTCCTTTTCTTCTTCAAGAAATCACCGGCCAAAAACCGATTCTCCATGGTGCGACCAAAGCAGCCGGTGCGCAACCACCTTTCCCGGCGTTCACTTCGCCGGCGACAAACAGTCGCCGCCTCTACCACCGGTACCCCGCAGACAGCCACACCTACAGCATCCTCGTCGGCCGAACCTTATTCATCGCCGATGGGAGGATCTTCCATCGCTAGTGCCATCACCGCGAGCACCATTGCCGCCTTCCGCACCTCCCTCCGACGACTGTAAGTCCTCCTCTACCCTCTTCATCCACACAACACTCATCACCCCCAACCACCATTGTACTCTCGTATGATGATGATGGTATGGTTTTCCTCACTAGGGTGGCTTTATCATCTCATTTGGCCGAATCATCCTCAATCCCCAAACCATTTTCCATTTCATTGAGCACCTCATACGCCCCACCCATCATTGCACCATCAAAACCCACTCATACATTCATCCCCAATATGGATGAACCAACCCTAGCCCCTTCATTACTTGTTTCCCTAATACACTCACGGTTCGATTTGAACCAAATGGGGGAGGGTGAGGATGAAGGTTTGGACGATATCACATTTGATTTTGAAGGTATATCGGAGGGAGGACCAACTGAGACTTTCCCGTTCGAGACACCGTCAACCATTGGTGCCAGTAAACAGCCCGATAAAACCCCCGTAACAGCCCCTACTGTTGAAAATAGGCAAACTCGTTCATCGAGTCAAGCTTCGGGTGGGGCGAAGACTAGGTCCCAACAATGGCGGGAAAAGGGTAAAGCAAAGGTGACGGAGGCTCTCTATAATGATTATGAGCCGGAAGAGGAAGAAACTTCAGTCCCGACACCGCGTAGACGATGGACTGTTTCGCGAACGAGAGGTACATCTTCATCCTTTGATGATCGGTTGGATATTATACGCAATAATAGATTTATGTGTGAACGAGCTTTTGACCCAAAACTTAGTGAAAAATTGATGTGCGTTAAGCACCATTTGCTTGCACATCATTGGGAACACATGATAGCCATCCCATACAAAGTGAACGAGACATTAGTGAAAGAATTTTTCGCAACTATCGGGAGTTCCAAAAATGACACAATTGTCATTCGAGGAACGTGAGTCAATTGGACAGCACCGAAGTTAAACTCGGTGCTTGGTCTCACCGCCCCCTTTGTATGTTCATACCGACAATTTATCGATGGTGGATTTGATGTACCGGAAGAAGATATCGACGTGGGCGCTCTTGCTTATTCGACCATACTAACATCGACTGTGCGAGCTAGTTCGCGTTTGACTTTTCCAGGTTTGATCACGAAGCTGTTATCAGCCGCGAGGGTACCTGTTTCGAAGCATGAATCATCACCTTCACCATTCCTTGCTTGATCAAGGAACAGTCAACCGCATGCACAAGCCGACCAATAAAATACCGACTTAGCCGATGATGCTACCGAACCACAAGTCTCATCTGGACCTGCTGCCAACAGCCCCCGAGGCCTGAAAAGCCTGCTGTTCCAGCCTCCAAACCAGCCGCAACTGCCCCTCCGACCAATACCGACATCCCGCCGATACCGCCTACGGCCACGGGTTTTGATTCGGAGGTGAGGTTGTCACTCATGGCTAGCCAATGGGAGGAATATAACCAGAAGATGGGGACGATGGTTGATGCTTTAGCTAAGATTACCGAGAGAATCACTCAAGTGGAAGATCGAGTTGTCGGACTCACGGCGTGTTCGGAGAAGTTTTGGATGTATACGCGAGATAGGAACCGGGTTGTGAACAAGTTTCTATCGCACAAGAATGTAATGGTAGCTTCGGAGATCCCGCGCTTTCCCAGAGGCCTTTGCCATCCTCAAGTTAGGTTTCCGAAGATCAGACGGACCACCACATCGGATGCCACGGGTGAGGCATCCGCTAGTCGAGACGACACGGGTAAATTGGATTGATCGTCTTTCTAGGTGTTTCGTTATAACTTTTGAAACTCAAAAACAATATTTTTTTTTGGATTGGGTGTTTAATATTTTATCCGACCGCCTCTTTTGTGTTCATATATGGCGGTCGTTGATATTTGCTTAGGTTTATTGATAAATTGCTACTCTAACTTACTTTTGTTTCTTATTGGGCGTTGATAATTTATTGGTATATCGTTGGCTTATTCGTCATTTTCATGTGCGATTTCCTTGCCGAAATCTTTGGGTTGCAAAAATTAAAAAGACGTGGGTCATCTTTCTTTTTGGCCCAAACACTTTCCATTGTTACCAAACCAAACACTTTAAATCCATTACTCCAATGCGGACATTGTTCGGTTTAAGTTTGGGGGAAGTTGTATGCCAAAGTGTTGAGAAAAAAAAAATTTGAAGTATCAAATGTTTTCGGAAAATTGGAAGACACAAAATATAGAAAAAAATAAATCAAAATGTTTTAACCCAAAGACAAAAAGTGAATATCACTTGTTGGGTTTCTTGAAAGTGTCAAAGACACAACAAAAAGATGCAAAAAGTCGAAATCATTCAAAGCAATTGTTGTCATTCTAAGACAAGTTTGGGGGGAAAAAATTTAGCCAAAAACACTAACCCGATAAAAGTCTCACCGATTAATTTTTGTACCTCAAAGATCAAAGAAGGGAAGTTGCACAACATTCAAGCCCGACGAGATTTCAACGCCCCTCTATAAGTTATGATCTCTTGTTCTTCTTTGTTCATATTCCGTTTATTTTGATTACTTGAGGACAACTAATATCTTAAGTTTGGGGTGTGATAACTCTTATTTTTAAGAGTTATTTCCTATTTAGTTCCTCTCATTTTGTTATTATTAAATACCCAATTTTCTTGTTTTTACTCTTTTATTTCAAAAAGTATTAAAAATATGATGAAACACAAAAAAAGATGTATTATTCCAAAAACCTGTATTTTCTGATAGCACTGCCCACTGTGGCACCACTGTAGGATGTCTACAAGCCTTGTTGCTGCTTCTTAGGAAACGTGCAGCTTGAAGATTCAGCCAGATATTTTCTCCAGCTGTATATGAGTTGTCTTCCTTCTTCTATTTTATTTTTTTTTAGCTTTGTACTAATTACCCTTAAGGTAATGATTGGTTGTACTTGCTCCCCTTCCTCTCCCCTTTATAAAGAGGCTTGGGGAGTCATTTTGAAAACACCACCAATGAACCAAAAACACCATGCAAGACACAACTTTTTTTGTGTCTCATTCTCTCTTTTTCTTTCTTTTACTATTATTATGCTTTTAATTAATGTCTTTAATTTCTAGTTTTAACTTAGTATTTTATTTCTTTGTACTTGTAATTTAATTTTACATTAATGCAATTTATATTTCAGTATTATTTTATGTCTTTAATTATTTTTATTATGTCTAGTTAAATTACTCGTATGGGTGTGGGTGTAAGTTTAAGTTAGGATGTTTATATAATATTTGGGTATTTTTATCTTTTATCACTTCGTAACTTGGTCACTTAAGATCTTAGACCCAGAGATGGACGGATCCGAAATACGGCTTAAGTGATGCACAAAGAACTCGAGAGGGTCTTTGAATAATTACGTGGAGACGCGAATTTTGTATGCATCTAGCTAGGGGTTAAGCAATAGGTATTTTTATCACAAAAAAGATTTGGGTAAGAATCGCATTCCTTTTACTTTTTAACTAGATCGGCAAGTTTCGAAATGGTAAACGTAAAACCTTATGGAATTTTATGAGGCCCGGTTATAAAAGTTCACTTTCGAGATATTGGAGCTTTTATAAACAACTCGTAAAAGTCTAACCATTTTATTGTTAATTTTATCTTAAGCAACACTTACACCCATGCCCATCATTTAATATTAGAAGTTCATTTTGTTACTTGCTAGCCGGTACTATTTCGATCTTTTTATAAACAAAAATCCAACTTTTATTTACATCTCGAGACTCGTGCAAGAAGTTCATGAAAAATCTATGAATCTCAATAGTACCTTCTCTGTGGGAACGATCTCGGTACTTTGTACCACTTTATTAATTGCAAGCGATCATAATGTCTGCGTGCACTTGCACCACCACTGTGGGGACTTCCTGCCCACTAGGTGAACACGAACGATCCTAGCCTGTCACCTCTCCCAGGAGGTTGGGTTCTACTCGTATTCGGAGAACCACTGAACCAATGACTCTTTGACAAGGTCTTCAAATGTTTTTTTAAATACATAATATTTATATACAACAAATGTTCAAGCACACTCCTCACCTTTAGTGAGATTTGAACATTTGACCTCCCGGAAGGCTGAGTTCTACCGACAAATCGGATACCAATAGGCCAATGACTCTTTTGGTGAGGTCTTCAAATGATCAAATTTTGAATATGATACAATAATAACATTGTCTCAAAGTGTCAAAATTATTGGATGTTTAAAGTCACTTCATCAAACATAACTACCAATGCTTTCATCTAATCTAATTCTAAAAGCTTAACCTCTTATAATTCCCCTAAAGTCTACAAAATGATCTAGGAAAGTTGAAGCTACGCAATGTATGCGTGCGATAAACTAAAACTAAGAAGCAACGAGACCAAAATGCCAACGAGATACGGTCTTCTAGTGATACCAGCTGATATTGACCTGCAAAGTACAAACATCAAACTCTGAGAGATCCATCCTTCAATCAAAACGGTAGAATTTAGGTCATTTCTCTAAGCTTTCGCTTTTCCTAGAAAATTTGAAGGTAAAAAATTATATTTGTTTTTCTTTTAAGTATATAATATTTATATACGGCAAAATATAACAAATAAACTCACACACCCTCCTTATACATTTGGTGAGATTTGAACCTTTGACCTCCTAGGAGGCCAAAGACTCACAAACCGCTAGGCCAATAATAACCTTCTGACATATTTTTTTTAAATATATGACATTTATGATAGACCGAGATAAATTCTTGTGTTAGAAGAGATATTATTCTATCGCACAAGGCATTCTTAATCAAAAGGTCATGCATTTAAAAAACTTCATTAAAAGGTTATTCTCATAACTAATGCATTCTCTTTACCCGACCAGGGGCAGGTCATTGAGTAGGGGCAGGTCATTGAGTTAACCAATCTAAGAAGGTCGGCTCCTAATTGGAAACTAATATAAGGCCATTTATCTAAAAAACCCAACAACCGCTCTACTCTTTGAAGTAGATGTCAAGTCTGCGTACATCTTACCCCAAACCTCACGTCCAAATGGACATATTGGTCCCCTTTGGTTTGGTTTGGTTTGGTTTGGTTTGGTCTCTGGGAAGAAAACTAAGTACAAACAATATGTACAAGCATTTATTCGAATGACCCCTAAGACGTTGGATCATGTGGGAATAAGAGTTCAGATGCATAAGAAAGGATTTGGACCCTTGATCACTTTTAATCTCACTCCACCCCATGAATTGCATGAGCTCCTCACAGGAATTGATTCAGTGCAATTCATTAGTATTAATCTTCAATTAGGATTGATCAAGGGTGGAGATCTTCTTTCCCTCCTCACCACCTGGGAAATCTTAATGCCATAATGCCTTTCAAATCCTCCTAGCCATGATCCTACTAACCCTAAAAGCTAACAGTCAACATCAAAGATTATTGCTACTATTCATAACATTTGACTAATAGTCAAACCCATCTATTAAACTACATGTCAAATTAAACATACAGCTGAGTAAAATAATTCCTATGTCCTATAATAAGTGTCCACGTTTCTATTTTAGTTTGTCTCAAACCAAGTGTCCATTTTCAACAATAAGTGTCTACTCTCCGATTCTACCATTAATTATAAGATGGAGAAATTCATTACTCCTTCTATTACTAAGATTAAAATTGTCATTTAGTTAATTAAAAAGTGTAATAATTATATGTTTCTAAAACCTGTGAGCCTTTTTCATCGTGGACATCTATTTTGGGACTAAAGGAGTATAAGAAAGTAAATTAGAAACAGATCATAAACGGATATGGAGATCAAAAGGAATTAATGGATTACTATAAGTTGCTAGCTATTACCTATCAATAACTGACTTTGTTGTGAGTCCGAATCCAAAAGGGAAGAGTGGATTGTAATGTGGATCGCCTATATTCATCGGGAGTTGGTCGACAGTTCTAAACCAAGTTCTTGAAAGCTTTCCCGTAAACTCATGGTCTCCAAAAAGGACATCCGCCACACCTTGGCCTTCACTGCCGGGTAACCAGGCTGCAACCAGAGCGTCAATCGCAGACATATATGGTTCAATCACAACCGGCCGACCAGATATGATGACTACAACACATTTCACTTGCCCACAAACATTTGTGATGATTCTTGGACCAGGATCTGCAATCGTAAGGTTTGAACTATCGCCAAACATCTCTGTGTAAGGATGCTCACCAACTACAACTATGGCATAAGAGAAGTTTTTCGACTTGATAAATTCACTATCAGGATTCTCCATGTAAGAAATTTCGGTGCTTGGATCAACTACAGATTTGATTCCATTAAGAATAGTTGTTCCTGCAATTAATAAAGAACTCATATGTCATAAGTCTGCAAAGTAACACAACTTTGTCAATGGAATTAGGGAAAAATATATCAAAATGCAACAAAGTTCAGTAACGAATTTTTTTTCTCAATCGATGTAACAAAGTTCAAAATTTTCCTATTTTGTACCCATTTTGACTGATAACCTAGTGATCTTGTAAGATTTGATGACATGAATACCCGTTTATAGAAGGGCTACAGCGAAATGGACAATAAACTTAACATCCACATCATCAAATGTTACATATCAAAAGGTTACCGGTCAAATGGGTTTAAAAGAACAGAAATTTTTGAAACTTTGTTATATTAAATAGGAAATGTTGAAACTTTGTTATATTGATTAAGATTATAAAATTAAAAAAATCTTTGCCACACTAAATAGGAACCAAATCAAACTT